ATCACTCCATAGTTTGGGAGGCGCAGAAGCAGGCTCAAAGGACCCAAACCGCAGAGTCGTCGTGGGTACCGAAGGCGGAGTGGAACCAGCTCCGGACCCCTCCCCAGGCAACTGAGCATCAGGACGAGATCTGGTCGAACCCTCTCGAGCAGACTCGTCTGGCGCCCCCGTGGCTCCTGCACCACCATCACTCTCGTGCCTATCAACATCATCCCCAGCAACCTCGTCAGCGAACATCTCAATGTCCTCAAACTCTATGTCGAGCAGGAATACCTCTCCCCTATATGTCCAGTGAACGACATCAGGCACGAAGTCAACATTCAGAACACTGACCAATATCCGAGCCACTCCATGAGCCCGAGTGAAAGCCATATCTACTCTCTCCGTCTTTCCGACCATGATACCCATACTGGCTACAACTCGAACGTCCTGCAGAGGCTTAGATGGGGCCCCAGAAAACCGCAGCCAGATCTGCGTGAGCGGCTTGCCTTTAGGCTCCACCTTCGTCCACTCGTGAAACTCCAAAATACACGTAGTACCTGGAACTCTACACAAGCCAAAACTCAGTAATCTCTGTAAATCCTCCACAGAAGGGAAATCCACCTTAAAGACATTCGCTTCGAGTCCGACTAGCTCCCACTGATAGTCCCCCGGCGCCAACTCCTGAAGTCTGTGGATAATCTGAGCCTCAGTCACCTCGCCCTGAGTTGCCTTCACAATCCCGGTAGTCATGCACTGTGTATCCTCGGGAATCTCCCTCGCCGCCGAGGACTCGAAGAACAATAACTCCGCACAGTACAGCCCATACATAGTCAGAGATGGAGCCTGGTCACGCACTAACGGGCAATCTCCCGAATCATGTGCAAGCTTGCCACACGAGTCACACAGCTCTGCGACGCACTCTGCAATAAAATGGCCCTTCTCACCACACCGGTAACACAGCATCCTCTCCTTCTTGCGCGCCCATTTGGCCGCCCTCTCGGAGTCAGACCTGTCTGATGTTTCACCTGCAGCCCCAGGCACCGGAACATCAACCTTGGCCAGTGCCGTTACCACCTCCATAGCCCGATTAGTAACATCCGTAGACTGAGCAGAATCCGTCTCAACCGCGGTAACCTTCTGGTCAACAGCAACCGGAGGCGGAGGTTGCCGACGAAACCTACCACGTCCTCCGCCCCGACCACCCCGACGTCCATGGAATCCACCTCTCTGGCGGGGGTCCGGGCCGGAAGCCCCCTCGACAAAGCCACCAGGAGGCCCGAGGAAAGGTCTCTCAGCAGACCCGTCACTCTGCCATGCATAGCCTCGGCCTCCACCGGTAGACGAGGAACCGCGGTGCTGTCCGTCTCCATAAGCATCAACACCATCATCACCCCACTGATCACGGGGCGCCTCAACAGACTCTCGAACTGTCCACTCCTTCCTAGGCTGCGAAGATCCTGACCGATACTGAGCCGGCCTCGCTGCATAATGCGGCGGCGGAGCAGCCCGAGGCGGAGCACCACCCGGGGCCGGCACCACATCACCAGGCCCGCCGCCACGACCCATGACTGTGGCCACCGGAGGCGACGGCCCCGGAGGTCGCGGTCCTGCAGGGGCTCCTCTTCCCGCAGGAAAGTCCGGCGGTCTGGCAGGCGAAGGCCCCGAAGGTCGCGACCCTACAGGGACTCCTCTTCCCGCAGGAAAGTCCGGCAGCCTGGCAGACGAAGGCCCCAAAGGTCGGGGACCTCCACTGCCCGTAGGCATCACCGGCGGCCGAGCCGCCGCAGGCACGGGCGGCCGTGCCCCTTGGTTGCCACCAACCCGTCCGGAGGGGGCGGGAGCGCCACGCCCGGCCCCGGCGACAACTCGCCCGGCGTCGACTGCGCTGCTCCCCGCGTCGGAGGCCCCTCGACCAGCCTTCCCAGGCGGCGGCGGCGGCCCGATCGCCCCGGCGTTACTCGCAGCCGCGCGGGGCTGCACTGCCGGCGGTCCACCCGTTCCTCGACCGGCCATCACAAGCAGTGGCGGGATCCGGCAAGCCCGACCAGGACCGCACGGAGGAAGAAAGGGCGTCCCACGCCGACGAACCCTAGAGGAAGACGACGATACGCACGCAGAGGCGGAAATTACGTCCGTGCATGCGGCGCTAGTCGTGCATGTGGCGTCCGGTATGGCCTGGGCCTCATACCCAGCCATATCCGGCCCACTTAGCAAAGCAGGAACGCACGGAGAGTCCGGCCCAAAGCGGCCGAGCAGATTGTTCAATCGCTCGCTGCGTTTCGCCCGGATCCCGCTCGGCAGCCTCGTCGGCAACACAGCCGCCGCCGCCGGCAGCGATCTGGTTCTCAACCGATGCGCAGCCCTCCTCTTCTTGACCACCGTCCATGAATCCGGATGTATTAAATCGAACAAGGTAAGGTTTGGTAGGCGTACCTTAGGCAACGGTCCCTTCCACGGCCTGACCGCCGAAGCCGCATTTCTCCGGTGAACGACACGGCGTACCAACTCCTTCCTCTCGTCCGGACGAAGCCCAACCCTCGCCGGATCCTCCACCGGCACAACCGTGTCCACTGTAATGGCCACCTCATCTTCGTCATACCCTGCATGAAATAGATCGCAAATCAGATCCGAAGGCGTAGGTGACGGCGGCGAGTACTCTGAGTTGTCGCTATCTCCGTCGGCCTCCTCCTCGTCCGAAGCCAGGAGGGCCCAGAAGCGACCGCCGATGCCCGCCCTAGCAGCCACAGCAGGAGGACACAGCGCGGCGGAGTCCCCGGCTGTCGCCCGGGGAGTCGCCCGGGGCGTTCTCTCAGTCATAATATGAGTTGGATGTGGCGGTGGTGTGCATGCATGCTTGACAAGTCATGGACGGGCGGAGCAGTGGGGATCTCCTGTTGGTCCGGCGAGTGCCATTTTTGGATTACATTTTTTTTCATCATGTTCGTGGGAGCAAAGGTAGATAAAAAGAGACAAATATCTGTACCCCATTCCAAGTACCCTGGCAGACAACAGCCGACAGAAAGTGTCACATATGGGTATTACATCTAAACAAATATAAGCATAGAGACCACATACATTTTACAAGCAACCGGCCAAACAAATCATATTAATGCCTGTTAGAAATGGGCAAGTAAACAAATATACAAAATATCAAGAAGACGATACACTAATTTTTACGTGGAAAATATTTGCGGGAAATAACACAGGCACACAATGGTGATCTTTCACTGTATCAAGAGAGTATCTACAAAGACATAGACTTACAATGAATCATCAACTCATCCCGAGGTATATATTGTTGGAGCAAAAACGGGAGGTAGAAGAATTAGTGAACATTCAGGATATTTGTGCTGCATAAAGCGTTGCAGCTTTTCTGCTTTGTTCTCCTTTTTATTTGAACAGCTCATGAGCTCAACTAGCTAACACAAAGATCCTAATCTTGGGCCATGACCAAGCTTCACAGACGTGCCATCCCACGTCCCTTGACCATGCCTCAAGTTCTAAGCCACTACGGTCGGTACTCGTGCCATCCCACAGGGTGATCGTAACAGCATACAGCTACTGATCTGGCCTTGTCGTGAACAGGCTCACGCTGCATGGACCAGTTTTATTGTTACTAGAAATAAAACCTACAAGATTACATGAATGGGTTTCATACTATAACATATATAGGTGGCATATGAGTGACTCGAAGCAAAACGGAAACCTAAATCAGCTTGCACTACGATTGACCATGGCTTCTCACTAGGATTCGGATCATATATCCTTTACTTGCTGTAATGTAAGTGCGCTGAAAGGCATATGAGTGTTTGGTGTGCCTCCTGCATGGTTGGCCTTGCTTGTGGAGAAGATTCCAAGCAAGAAAAGGCCAGCTTAATGAGCAGAGATAAGTTGTTCTCTTCTGTTGTTGTTGGTGTGGTCGGTCGTTGGTCCAAAATATCTTTCACCAGCATAGCTTGTTTCCTGCTTAGCAAACTACTGCCTAATTTATCCCTTGGATGCTTCCCCATCACTAGCTCTAGCACAACCACACCAAAGCTATATACATCACATTTCTCTGTCACAACAGATGTGTATGATAGTTCTGCACAAAATCAAAACATTAGAATTAGGAACAAATGAACTGACATGAATGTTTCTGATGTGAGAAGAAAGGTTATACTTGTACATACCAGGAGCTATGTAGCCATATGTTCCTGCTAGTGCACTCCAGTTTGATGAATCGGGCTTAAGAATCCTTGCTGTGCCGAAATCCGAGACAAAAGCCTTGAAGGTTATATCAAGTAAGATGTTGTTGCTCGTGATATCTCGATGGATTATGGGTGGACTGCATTCATGGTGCAAATAAGATATTGCTTGAGCCACATCAGTTGCAAGAGTAATTCTCTTCTGCCAATCTAATTCCTTTGCTAGCTCCTCATTTTCCAATGTCCCGTGAAGGCTGCCCCGCTGAATACTCGTAGACAAGAAATTTATACACCGGATGGGAGCAGAATCCATACATTTTGACGATGCTTCGTTGTCGGATCTGTGATAAGATTTCCATTTCACTGTGAAATCTTCTTTCGTCATCCAACTCTTCTTGAGTCTGATGAAGCTTCTTCACAGCAACTAGATGCCCGTCTTGGAGTTGTGCCTTGTAGACTTTGCCGTATCCTCCTGTTCCAATGATGTACTTCTCGTCGAAGTCTTTTGTTGCCCTTACAATATCATCAAATGCTAATCTTCCATCAAAATTCCAAACGGAGAATAGGTCCGGCCCTTCCTTCAGCAGCAACACTTTCCAGTGGTTTTCTCTTGTTACGACTAAGAATTATTATGACAACAATTGCAGCAACAACGCCGAAACCCACCACAGGAATAATTGGCAAAAGCAAACCAAGTGTCTTTCGCTCATGGTGACCAACTACTGGAGTTGAATCACAAGGTGGCAGGCCAGAGAGGTTACCACACAAACCTTTATTGGGAAGAAACCAACTTGCTGAAGCATTTTGGAGTAGCCGGGCTGTTGGGACTGGTCATTCCAGGTCGTTGTAGGACACATCGAGTGTTGAAAGGCTCACCATCCTTGCCAAGGAGGATGGAATGCTGCCACTGAACTGATTATGTGATAAATTCAGAAATTCTAGCATCTCCAACTTCCCAAGTTGCTGCGGCAACACACCACTGAGGTTATTGTTGCTCACATCTAACATGATCTGCAGGCTTGCTAAATTTCCAATTGTACCAGGCAAACTCCCACTAAACTTGTTGTTGTTGATCTTTAAGGACTGTAGTTTTGTACATGCCCCTATTTCCTCAGGCATTGATCCACTCAGTTTGTTCCCAGATATATCAAGGTATCCTAAATTGTTTAGCTTTTCTATCTGTGTAGGTATGGATCCGGATAATTGGTTCCATGATAAGTTCAGGCTATATATATTAGTTAAACTCCTGATTTCTGGTGGAATCTCACCGCTGAGATGATTATAATCGAGTCTTAGTTTTTCTAGGTTGGACAATTTATAAAGGATTGGAGGTATGGAACCTGTGAGCATATTTTTTGCTAGATTTAGTATTGTTAGTCGGGTAGATGCACCTAGATTTGGTGGGATCTGCCCACACAGTCTATTCGATGCCAAGCTCATCTGTATGAGTTGTGGATATACACCAAAATGCTGAGATATATCTCCTGTTAGTTGGTTCGACAAAAGGTCAATTTTAGTCAAACTCGTACATGTCTTTAAACTCCTTGGAATGGGTCCATTGAACATATTATGAGAGACACCGAGATATTGAAGTTTGCTGCCTGAAATTATATTTGCAGGTAAAGGTCCTGAAAGTGAGTTGTTAGACAACCCAAGGTTAAGAAGGTTTATGAGATCTCCAAACTCTTGAGGAAGAGAACCTGATAATTTGTTACTAAAGATTTGTATTTCTTGGATGCTTTGCAATTTCCCACAAGTTTTCGGTATTGATCCCGAAATTTGGTTCTGAGACAAGTTTAAATCTTCGAGGTTCACCAGATTGCCAATCTCGTTGGGGATGGAACCTGTTATCTGATTATCAAAGAGGTGTAGTAGTGCTAGCTTGGTTATGTTTCCTATGCTGTCAGGAATAGAACCAGATATTTGGTTGTTAGACAAGTCTAATTCTTGGAGATTCAGCAAGATGCCCAATTCTAAAGGTATTGGACCTGTGACTTGATTTTTATAGAGAAAAAGTTGGTTCATCTTAGTAAGATTAGTTATGGAGATTGGAATTGGACCTGAAAGATCATTTGACTCAAGTTGAAGAATTTGCAAATGGACTAGCCTTCCTAGTTCTTGGGGTATAGGCCCTGAAAGTTGATTACCAAATAGGGCTAAAGTATTTAGTTGGGTCAGATTTCCAAGGGTTTTTGGTATCAAACCACTTAAGGTGCTATTGCTTAGCTGTAGAAGTTGTAGGTTGACAAGACTTCCAATCTTCTCGGGAATGGGACCTGATACCATGTTTTGGTGAATGACAAGATCAGTTAACATTGTTAGGTTGCCCAGAGATGAAGGGATATGTCCTGTGAGTCTGTTGAATGAGAGATCAAGTAACATGAGACTTTGCAGGTCACCAATCTCACAAGGAATTTTCCCTGTGAGCTGGTTGTAGGGAAGGCTAAGTACTGAAAGTGCTGACAAGGAGTTGATACTAGGCGGTAGTGCACCATGGAGAGTGTTGTTCTGAAGGTCAATATATGCGAGGAATGGAAGAGCCGAGAAGTTGAGCTCACCAAGAGTGCCATGGATGCCAGCATCTGGTAGGGAGATGTTGGTCACCACCCAGGGCATGCGGCGGCCATGGCGAACAGCAGTGCACATGATGCCTGTCCAGTTGCATGGGCTGGTGTTTTCATGCCAAGAGCTCATCTGCAGCGGTGGGCTCGCGAGTGTAGCTTTCCAGTGGAGGAGGGCCATGTGTTGAGACCTCAGTGAGATCCCTCCATGGCGCGCCGCATGTGCTTCTTGCAAGAGAAGAAGGCATGGCACCAGCAGTAGGCAGAGGTACAACAATGGTGTCAAGGGAGTTCCCATTTTGCTGCCTGGTGTTTGCATGTTGTGTTTGGTTGGGGATTTGATTCAGCACACACTGCAACTGTATTTATACTTAACTAGTGTTTCGAGGTCCTCTGTTCTCCAGTGTTTTTCTCAATCTCTGCCAGCTGGATGCCTATTAGCTCTTGTTCGGACGCTAGCACACCCCTTTGGCAGCTGCTGCTGGGCAGCCTGTTTTTCTTCTTCAGCGTCGGCAGCCTATTTTTCTTTTTTCTTTTTTCTCATAAAAATGACACATGGCAATTGAAGGCAGGGATACCTAGAAGGCACCTGTGGTGTACGCCTACTCGTATCTTCCCCAATTCCCCTCCTGAATGGACTTGAGTTAACATCGTAGTAGAGTTTTCATTTGATGGCATCTCCTGTATTTGTTGTTTATTTGATCATGCAACCTGTATTCAGTTGTGATGTGTGTTAAGCTATTCTCTAAAATGTTTCCTTATTTGCTTTTCAGTAAGTATAGAGAACAAACGAAATTGGACTCGTAACTGGAATTGTCGGAAAAAATCCATGCTGGAATTCTATCTATGGTAGAAATAAAGGTATCAGCATTAAATTGTGGTCAATACAAATCCTGGACTGCAATTCTTTTGCTGGAAGTCATGTGTGTGAGGAAAAATGAGGCAGTGGCTGCAGCTTTGCTGAATTCAAAGCCTGTACAGCCAAGCAGCATCTTGACCACACAAGCTGAAGCAAAAATCCAAGCTCAAGTGGGTTACTGGCGCTTTCTGTACGCATTGAGCATCTATGGCCTATGGTTTTTTTTTTACATAATGGGCTTGTTTGAAACTTCTGCTCAGTGTCCCAGAGACAACACCTAACAAAGCTCCATTTGCTTTGTTTCCAGTCACTGTGCCTGAAGCTTGTTTCTCAACCAGTAGAATAATTTGCCCAGCTTGCTTTTTTCTGATCTCGTGCTTGCTTTTTTCTGCTTGAGCAGGAGGATGAACTGGGACTGCATGCCTACAGTAGAGTGGCGCAGGCACTAATTTGAACATGAATCTCGGCGTAAATGCTCTGCGCTTTCGTTTGTGCATGGACAGATTCGGTGTATGTTTCCTCATATACCACTACAATTCGTTGAACGATGGAATGTCTCCTCACAGATAGGGAGCTGTTGTTAGCATGTCTGTGATGGCACTAGCTGAGTTGAATTTCGAAGAATTTTTTAGCTTGAATTGGTATCCACTTCTCTTTTAGTCTTTATATCAGTATCATACACGTACTGAATTGGAGAAAGCAAGCACAGATGGCAACCTCGTCTGATCAACCTCCATTAGAAAGTGATAAAGGGAGCTGTTCTCTCAACTCGACGATTGTCCATAGAATATTACCCTAGCTGCTAATTTTCCTGTATAATAAGCAGGCACCTAACCCAGGTGAAGGATGACATGATGAGAAAGAAAAGCACAAGCCTGATTGTTTAGTTTCAGGCAGCACTGCAATGCAAATGCAAATACCATTTTGTTGCCTATTGTTTGCATGTTGTGTTTGGCTGGGGTATGTGATTCAATACACACTGCAACTCTAGTGTTATGAGGTCCTCGCGAACACACACCAGTTGAGTGGAAGCTGTTGCTGGATGACTATTCTTCAGTGTCTATCGCCATCTTTGCCTACTGGATGATTATTAGCTCTTGTTTGGATGCTAGCACACCCCTTTGGCAGCTGCTGCTGGGCAGCCTGTTTTTCTTTTTCTCATGTCTGTTGAAAAATGAAAGCATTTGAAGGCAGGGTACCCACAGATGCCTACTCGTATTTTCCCGATTCCCCTCTGTCACAACGTGTTTACTGAATAGACTCGAGTTAACATTGCAGTAGAGTTTTCATTTGATGGTATCTTCTGTGATTGGTTTGATGTTATTTGTTGCTTATTTGATCATGGAACTTGTAACTGTTTCAGTTATGGAAATTCCATAAAGAAATTGAATCAGCTTGTCTTAATCTATTCTCTAAAATGTTTCCCTTTTTTGCTTTTCAGCTGGTACATAGAAGAAAAGATTTAGCTGAAGGAATTGTGGGAATTCGGTGCTGGAATTCCATCGATGGTAGAAATGAAAGGTCTCAGTGCTGAATGGTGGTCAATACAAATTCTGGGCCACATGTCTTGCTGGAAGTCATGTGTCTGAGAAAAACGAGGCAGTGGCTGCAGCTTTTGTGGAATTCAAAGGCTGCGCAGCCAAGGGGAATTTTCACCACACAAGTTGAAGTAAAAAAAAACAGGCTCAAGTGGGTTATTGGCGCTTTCTGCAGTAATAATCCATAAAAACAGGCTCAAGGAAAAAAAGGCTTTAAGCATGACAGTCACGGTAATCAATAAAAACAATGCAAACAGTAATCAATATCCACTCGCTCGTCGCCCTCGGGTCATCTGTCGAACCGTCCCAATCAAAAATCTGAGAAGGCACTTGCGAGGCAGAAGAATACTTACCTGTTTTGATAGTAGCTCATGGACTTGTGTCTGGAATTGTGGGATGCTGGAATTCCATGGATGGTAGAAATAAAGGTCTCAGTGTTGAATTGTGGTCAATACAAATCCTGTACCACAAGTCTTTGCTGGAAGCCTGTGGCTGCAGCTTTTGTGGAGTTCAAAGCCTGCACATCAAGCTAATAAGTGGGCTACTGGCGCTTTGTGTAGTGATCAGAAGGGTGCGAAATCCACTCGTCGACCTCCCATCATCCGTCGAATCGGCCAATCAAAATCTGACAAGGCACTGAGCAAGGTAGAAGAAGACTTTGTTTTTGGAACAATGGGAGGTGCTCTCTGTACGGTTATTAATTAGCATGTCAGTCACTGCACTAGCTGAGTTGAATTTCGACGGGGTTTCTAGGTTGAATCGGTATCCGCTTCTCTCATCTGACCAGGGAGCTGCAGAAACATTACTATGGCTGACCTGCATTGTAAGCGAAAAGGGAACAGTACATGCTGCAAAATTAATCTGATAATACTAGACACCAAGTTTCAGAAAGCAGTGGACTGCTCGTCTTTGTCCTAGTACTGGGACAAAGAGGCTGGACTCCGAGATGCTGGAGGCGACGCCGGAGATGGAGAAGCTCTTCTGGTCCAAGAGGCTGAACTCCGAGATATTCTTCGCCCCCAACTAGGAGCCATTCATCAGATATCGGCCGGTCGCCTTAGGAAGGAATAAATAAATTTAGTTAGGAGATTGAAACTCTTTGAGCGTGGTGAGTCTGTCGGTTGAGCTGCTGGTGGTTTTTTTTTTTTTTTGAGCATCAGTACAGACACAAGTTTAGAAAAATCTTTTCTGTTTAGTTAGGAGATTGAAATTGTTTAGTTACTCCTTATTGCGTGCTTCTTTTCTGTTTTGTCATAACTTCCTCTTTTGTGACTATTTCTTCACTTCTGTTCTGGAAGACAGTTTGAGGATTTAGAAAAATCTATTTTGACGTTTAGAGAAAAACTTTTCGTTTACAATCTTTGTAGCAATTTTTATTTTTATTTTTCATCTTTGTATGGCTTCAGTTGTTTTGGGCTGCCTCATGTTTATTCTGAGCAGGCCCCCACTTGTGGACAGACCCTGTTTATTTCTATAGACAAAGGAAAAACACTTCGATATTAATACCCTGTTGTATAAAACTACGCCCATATCTATATCTATACTACTATTAAACAAGCAAACATATTCACCGCTAACTACACCCAGACTAATCTACACACAACAGCGCGGAGAAATTACAGCCTCTTGATTAGATCACTTAATTTAATCTAACCGTTTAGATTACACTAACCCTGAGCCAAAATCGCGTTTAGCATTTTTTCTGGGCGGACGAAAACTCTGCCGTCCCGAGAAGTACTCATCAAAATCCCTACGCGAGGACGTAGCGTCTATCTATCCCCACCTTTGTCGTTCCTATCGCCCTCCCTCCGCCACCGCCGGTGCTCTAGGGAGGATCAAGCCCCCGCCTGAAGTTCCCCACACCTCCCTCCTCTTTTATCCTCGCCGCTGCCATAGGATGCCGCCGGACGAAGCTTGGCCTGCGTCGATAGCGTTGGGTCCCTCTCCTCCCTCGGGCGGCGGCGCAAGACACAGCTGGCTCGCCCTGCGCCGGCGACGGCAGGGTACCTCTCCTTCCTCGGGTAGCGGCGGCAGCGCAGGACACAGCGGGCTCGGCCTACGCCGGTGACGGCGGGGACCCTCTCCTCCCTCAAGCAGCGGCGGCGGCGCGGCACGCAGTGGGCGGCCACGGATGCAACGCTGGGTGCGGGGCGTGGCGGCTCTTGTGGGACAGGCGCGCAACGGTGCCGTGACGGCTGCCGTGTCCGATGCTCTGCACTGGAGGCAGAGCGGCACCGTCACCTGGCCAAGGACCAGGGCAGCTTTCCGAGTGGTGGAACGTCTTCGTACAGCGCGGGTGAGGTCGTGTTTCCTCTGCGTTGTACATTTGGATCCCGGAGTGTACGGCGATAACTGTGATGTTGTCGCCAATCTCACATCGTGTTTCTTCAAATTGTGTTCTTTGAAATCTGAAGCGTGCATCTGTGAATGATAGTTCCTAGAGCGCAGTGTGGTTAGGGGCGACCAAAACGTATCGGGATGTACTGGTTGACAATGTTTGATCTACTTTGATTCCGATATAGGCCTCTCTTTCTTCAATCATTTACTGTTGCTTTTTTCTCATTTCTTTGGCAGATTTCACAGCTCGCAAGTTCCAGTGTCCAAATGTTGATTTCAAACTTCAGATCCACAAGATTGGTAAGAAGTGCAATATTCTTTCTGCACACCTGCCTTGAGGTAGTAACAAAATCATTTGTGGCATGTTTAACTCAGTTGTTTGTGTTTACATAGGAGTGGAGTTCCAACTCTGCCAGTAAAACAAGATTAAGTGGGAGGGGCTGAAACTCTTTTGCATGGAAATGTTTAACTGAATGATTTAAGATGGTCTTAAATTCTTTAGCTTGCAACTATTTAACGGAATTATTTTTAAGTGGGCTATCACAGTGACACCATACCTTGAGTACCACTTACTACATATGAAAA